CCTTTGCTGCTTTCCTCCAGGTGTGATAACAAACTGGCGGTTTTAAAAGGGGACGGGCAAATTGTCCAAAATGTTAGCAACAGCACAATACGTTGAATGTATATATATTACATTTTTTTCAGAAATGTGATTCTCTAAAGATTGCCTTTCTATACTCCGATACAGCTTCAATAATTAAAGTGGTCTCCTTTTTGCTTCTTTTACTCTCAGATTCAATTATACAGACACCACATCAATCCATGCTGTTAGAGCTCCCCTCCTAAAGCTGTCTCACTTATAGCACCTTTTTCAAAAAGGCTTTTTGGAAGCCTCCCAGAGAACACTGGAGTTGTTTGGACTCAGCGGCCAACAAAGGCCTTTCATCTTCATCGTGAAAACACCCACTCCACCTCTGTTTGACACTAACTCTATCTCAGGCTTTTTACCTTTCATCTCTTCCCGCCTTTATGACCATGTTCCGGTGAATAGGTTTCTAAATGTACAGTTGTTTTGACTTCTAAAATTATCCTTATCCTGGCTTACACACATGCTTTCACGTGATTCAGCAGTATTTCCCCGCCCGCTCCCATTTCGATCACTGACATGGGATCAATGAAATCTGGAATTACATGTCCAGATGTCAGAGGTGCAATCGATATACAATTGATAACTAATTTGGCAGCGCGGGCACCATGACGCATCAACAAGAGACTATTTAGTTCTCTGCTTTGTTTGACAAGAGTGATTGTGTAAGCGGATCAGGCGTCGGAACAGAGACACGTTTTGCCACATCTAATTTTCACCCTTTTTCCCTGGGAGAGGACGAATCTGTCTTTCTAAAGAGAGGCACAATAAATCAGACAAATTGCATTTCCTAGAAGGAGCAGGCGACTCAGCAGAGCTGTGTTTACAGGCAATCTGGAAAGGAAGACAGACACACGCCTCTTTCTGATTCTGACTGTCACTACTGTTCACTCAGTCATTCAGAAACTCTCCATCCCTGCTCCCCATTTAGAAGTTCACTCTCTATTCATGCTTCTTCTTTGCTCCACTGTTGATGAGTCCCTGCGATTACTGTTGGTCACCCCTTCTGTCTGTCTTGATTTATTAGATCAGTGTTGGCTTTCATCATGTGAGGTCATCTTACCTCACTCACTCATTAATTAGAATTTCCGCAGTTCTCCTTTTTGACCTTCATCTCTCAGAGGACTGGCAACAGTTATTTTCAAAGAGGATCTATCTGTCCTCTCTGAAGAGACATTTTGATTTTTTTATGCAATTAAAAGGACGTTTTATTGGTAGAGAGGACGGCTGGCTTGGAAATATACCTGAGTAACAGTTTCCCATACACCTCAACAAGAGTGATGTTTTCAAAGTGACAGTTTACCACGCTTATGTTAATGCCTCTTTTTGTTTTCATCCCCCCCAATCAGAATTATGTTTTTGGGTGGTTTGGCTCTTCGACCAATTCTTGTGAACGCCAGTTCTCAGGAACACATAAATCAAATTTGTTCAGATTAGGCACAAACACCCATTTGGACTCGAGGATTATCTTGTTAGATTTTGGCGAGCAAGGCCACTGTGACCTCACGTCCATCACATTCTAGTGAATGTGGTATTTTAGGAATGTCTGGAGGAGATTTGGCACAAAAAGGAATGTTACGTGAATAATGATTCTAAAAACATTTCACTTAGCTTTTGGCAGAGTGCCATGGACCCGACTTTGAAAATCATCACACAATAGATTACAGATCAGTTGATTTTCTTTGTAAAATGTAATTCTAGTAGGATACTCTTAGAACACTGCCATGTTGTGCACTGTGAAGCACTTGTGCAGTGTGTCTATTTTGACCCTAGAGTCTTATATCGCTCACTGCTTCTATGCTCTTACCGGAACTAGCTAGCCATGTCATTGTTTACAGTAGCAAATGTTGTAGCAAATCATTACAGACTACTCTATCAGACCAATACAATGAATGGAAGCTGATTTATAACACTAGTATAGTGGTATGTGTATCGAATATAGGAAAATATCCCCATGTACAACTTATATTTGTATAGTGCTGTGTTGACTGGAGCAATCACAGCTCTATGCACCGCCCCTGTAACGTAGCCAAGATGGCAACTGTTGATTGATGGAAGTGTCCATCGTTCCATACTCAGTTTTTAACCATTATGATTGCATCATCTGGGTACTGGATCGTAGAACAAAACATAAAAATCTCTTCAGCCACAAATTGTATTTCAGGCTTCAAAACACAAACGTGTTTAAAAAACGTTAACTTCGAGAACAGGGAACCAGAAGTGATAAAATGCTAACTAATTTCTGCATTCATGCACCACTATATAGGCCTCAAAACTCCATTAATGGTCAGGCTACACTATCTACTGGCAACATTTTAACAGATTTTACAGGGTGTCCGCGGGGTCTTAAAAAGTATTAAAAGTTGATAAATCAATTTAGCGAAAATTAAGGCCATTAAAAAGTATTAAACAGCATTTTCCAAGGTATTAAGAAAGTCCACAGCAATGACAACATGAAACACCCTTTAATTTACTGAAACGACATGTCGTGGAAACCCCCCCAAGGCGGCCCCATGCTTAGTGCACCGTAAAATACTGCTTCTTATTTTAAGTTTCGTTGCCTTGCCTGAACTGTTGATACACAAGAGTCTGTCGATGGGGATCAAAGCTGTCCGGTCCCACATGCTAAGTGCTAGCCAGAAAGCCGCGGCGTCTAAGTCCCGACTCTCCCGATGGCCAATCCTTGCCTCCCCTGACTGCACGTCGCTGACACACACCGCTGCAGTGCAGACTCTCTGCACGGAGGAGCAGTGGAGTCCGGGCGATGCTGCTCCTCCAAGGAAGAGATACACGTTCACTAAGCCAAACTATATCCGGTCACAGAGATCTGCTATTTTAAAGTAAAGTCAACACATATCGACTTTAAATATAGTCTATATTAAGAACGAGAAAAGTCTTAACATATATATCGTTTTTTGTAAACATATGACAAATGTGTGAGGGCGATGACGTCAGAGCGTCGTCCTATGTGCCGGGCTTAGCCCCGGACAGCCCCAGCCCAATGTAACCCCTGGGTATTTGTGAGGGAGCTCCTATATGGCATTACCCCGCTGAAGCTCACCAAAGTTTAATATATTTCATAGTTCAAAGTTTTGTTTATTGGTCAAATACTGGTTTCTAATGGTTTCTGAGGAGTTCTACTGGAATGAAAGAGCACAGAGTACAGAAGCAACAAAGCAGCATACTGCATTAAACCTGACCTTCACAGGTTGAAGTTCATGGAGAGGAGTCTTCAGAAGTCTGTCTGCACTCTGTTTAGTTGTGCTATCTTACAATCAATATAGTAAATGTGAGGTAAAGTGTGTCGCCAATGTAACCGGTTAGAACTCGAAGTTGCGATGAGGTCTTAAAATGTATGGAAAGGGTCTTAAAAAAAGGTCTTAAAAGGTATTACATTTTACTTCAGGATTCCTGCATATACCCTGTTTTAGGTAAATACTGACAATCAAGTGAATTTGTTTGATTGTGGCTCATTCTTGTCTAATCATGATGAGCTGTCAGCCCTGATGACAATGAAGTCTGACTGGCTTTCACCTCACACACTCACTCAGTCTCTCTCAACCTTCTTTCTTACCCACTCTTTCCCTTTTCTCGTCTCTTGCACCACATTAATAAACAAACGTTTTCTCATTAATAGAGCATGGTTCTAGGAATTCCTTGAACCTCCATTTCCCCCTGGGCCACATCGTGCCTCCACATCTCGGTTTTCATTTGAAAACTGTCGGCAGGATTCATTTACACTTGTGCACGATGCACATAAAGTGGAGTGTGATGAATGCAGAATGAGCTCTGGCAGCCCGCCTCTGTTTCCTGAGTCAACTGGCTTGTTTACAACCCATCGTGAAGTGAAGCATCTACAGTTCCTTACTGGAACCTTCACACTTCAGCAGACACATTAAACACACAATCTATAACTATAAAGTGTCACTCTGTAGCTCAGGTGTCATGGGCCTGCTCTGAAATAGGCTTTGATCAAACGGTTAATTTGTAGATAGTGAAGAGCATCGGAACCTTAATGTAGACCATACAGTATACAGTATGGCACTATACTAAATCATGAATATGTGCAGGACAGGCAGATTGTTTAGTTTGTACATCCTTGAGTCGCTGTAGTACAATCATGTTTTTGTGCTAAATGGTCTGGTAAATCTCTCTTTTTGAAGATGACATATTAAGTTCATATTCAGGTTTATATTTGTATTTAGTCCCTCTACTATGACATGTCTCCATGCTTTAATGTTCAAAAATATGTTATATTTCTCTCATACTGCCTTTGCTGCAGCACCTCTTTTCACCCTCTGTCTGAAACCAGCAGTCTGCTCTGATTGGTTAGCTGGACAGCTCTGTTTTGATAGTGATAGCGTGTTGTGTCAGAGCACTAGCCAATAGAAGCAAGTGTTTCATAGTGATGTCACTATATCACAGAAGAAAACAAAGGAGTTCAATGAAGGAGTTTCAGGCAGGGGGGGGGAGTGTGTGGGATTTTCTCTCCCTCACACTCCCCCCCCCCCCCCACACACTTTGAGATGTTAGCATTTGCATCTCATTAGCATGCACAAAAACCTATATAACACACTCCAGGAAAAGGAAAACCTAAAAAGCATATTAGGACCCCTTTCAATTACTTATTTTTTCCTTCATATCCTTTATATTGTTTATTACTGTTAGTTTTTCCTTTAATTCCTTTTCTATGCTTACACTTTTGGCTTTTACCCTTGATTCCTATTTATTTTTTTAAACAGTGATTTCCTGTTTCTTAGAATCCTTGTTTCTGTTTTTAATCCTGTTTTGCTATAGTCATTAGCACATCAACATTTCACCCATATTTTCTTCATGTTTACTCACCACATAGCCTGTATCCAGACTTCCAGAGGGAATGATATGAGCTGATTTCATGGAGATCTAACCCGTGCAATTGTCATTATGTCTTTGCTCAGGAGAATAAGGAGCCCCCTGTGGTACAAATCTCTGCGGGCAGCACACTCGGGGTGGATGTGTACAAAGTCCAGAGGCGCTTTTCTGGCAACCTGCAGCTGCCACCGTTGTCATGGCGACAGGCAGAAATGGAGCGGGACAGGGGGAGGTCGCCGACACCTGAAGATGATCCAGTGACCCGCAGCAGACCTACAAGCCTGCCCATCTACTCACTGCCCCGCATCGACATCACAAAGGCCGACCCCGACAGGTGAGGCTCCCAAAACCAAAGAGCCATCATCATGCAATGTGTATCATGCATTTCATATTCATGTAATGTCATCCTAGATAGTAATTATATAATTCATTTATTGTCTCAGGCCATATTGATTGTAATCCTTCTATCATTATATCTAAATACTTTTAGGATATTGCTCTATATCAGGGGTCTCCAACCTTTCTTCATCTGAGAGCTACTTTGAAAAAATGAAAGTGGCCAAGAGCTACTTGCATCACATCGCACTCATCAGTTGAATTAAGCTACTTTTGTACACGTGTGAAATTGCAATACCCAAAGCTTATCAAAAATCTTTACTTCACATCAAGGTCCAAGAAAACGACAATTTCTCACATATCATATTTATATTATATTAATATATTATTATTATTATTATTATGTATTTATAAATATGCCAAGAAAAATATCCCACACACCATTACACCACCACCACCAGCCTGAATTGTTGATACAAGGCACGATGGATCCATGCTTTCATGGTGTTCACGCCAAATTCTGACTAGGGATGGGTATCGTTAACGGTACTAATACTTTTATCGATACCGCTTATCGGTCCGGTCTTTTAACGGTACTCTTATCGGTTCTTTTGGAGAAAAAAAAAAAGGTAAACTAACTAAACAAATTGTGAACAAAACTAACATTGCTTTTTATTTAAATTAAATACATAATATTTCACATCAAAAGAAACAACAGTGTTTTAACAAATCGTATTAAATAATCTGATGACAGACTGTAAACAGAATAGCTGAAACTTTAACAAAATAAATAACTCAGTTTCCTTTAATCATTAACCCATGTTTGTATAATGTAGTTAACTCCGTGTGTTGCTGCTAGCATACATAACACCTGACGTGGAAACGTTACTCGTGGATGGGGCTACAGAGCTGCTAGAAAGACGGTCGAACCCGGTGCATTCCTCCGTCTGAATGTGGAGCACTTTTGCAAAATGTTTAGACAAATTGCTCGTGTTACCGCCCTTACATGCTAAACTCTTATTGCACTTTAGGCAACGAGCATTGTCCACATCGAGACGGGTAAAGTTTAACCACACCTCGGAGCGCGTTCTCTCTGCCATCTCCGCAGTGTGTGTGTGTGTGTGTGTGTGTGTGTGTGTGTGTGTGTGTGTGTGTGTGTGTGTGTGTGTGTGTGTGTGTGTGTGTTGCTGCATATAGCAGCCGCGTGTGTGTAAACTGCCCCGCCGTTTTTGTCTCCAGTACCGATAAAAAAGACCGATGAAGTCGGAGCTTAACGGTACCACGGTCTTTAATAATTCATCCCCGGGGCCCGTTTAATACCGGGGCTCGGTACCCATCCCTAATTCTGACCCTACAGTCCGAATGTAAGAAATCGAGACTCATCAGAACAGGCAACATTTTTCCAATCTTCTATTGTCCAGTATGGTTAGCCCGTGTGAATTGTAGCCTCAGTTTCCTGTTCCTAGCTGACAGGAGTGGTACTCTGTGTGGTCTTCTGCTGCTGTAGCCCATCTGCTTCAGGTTCCACGTGTTGTGCGCTCAGAGATGGTCTTCTGCATACCTTGGTTGTAACTAGTGGTTATTTGAGTAACTGTTGCCTTTCTATCATCTTGAACCAGTCTGGCCATCCTCCTTTTACCTCTGGCATCAACGAGGCATTTTTGCCCAGAGAACTGCCGCTCACTGGATATTTTCCCTTTTTTGGAACATTCTCTGTAAACCCTAGAGCAGGGGTGGCCAACCAGTCAGAGGTTAAGAGCCACATTTGTTCTATGTTACTGCAAAGAGCCACATCAAACACACAGTCACTGATACCGCTTGTTTCAGTTTTTTGTTTTCTGGAGACAAGATTTCAACCACGTCACTGATGCATTTTTGTGGCATTGGGATATATTTTTTTAAATCCTCTGGAGCAGAGAGAGGAGCTGTGGATTATTGTTATTGATTAATGCATCAGTGTTTCTTAGGGTCAAAAACACTAAACTCACAATTTAAAATGAAAGCGTTTAGTTTATTTAATAAAAGAGCACATGTTCAATGTGAAAAGTGACAGTAGTTATAGATTATTTGCAATTTGGTGCTATATATATATTAAAAAAAAAAATATATATATATATTTTTTAAACACCTTGAATTTCAGGGGGGGGGGCGGGGCTCCGTTGGCGGGGCTCCGTGTCTCACACTGACACCACACATACACAACATACATAACACGGGACGAAGTAACGGAGCGATTTTATCCGAGCCCAAACAACTTTGACCGGCCAAATTACGTCAGAATTATCAGCATTCAATACTTAACAGACCTACTAAATATCAGGTTTAACTGTCAGGAGTAGCTAGTGTTGTCACGATACCAACATTTTGGTTTTGATACCAAGTCAAGAATTGCGATTCCGATTCTTTTTCGATATTTTCTTAAAAAAAGGGAAACGGTCTTAAATGTAATTATTGTGCTTTATTTCACACCAGAACCATAACCATAACACAAACTTTAAACAATGAGAACAATAAATAAAATAAATGACAAGAATTCGTATTAAATACAATTAATAAATGTCTTACAGACAGGCCTCGTGGTGTCCGTAGGCTTGCCCTCACTGTCAGAGATATAGCTCGAATACTTCCAAATTTCGCTTCTGGCGTCTTTTTTGTCAACAAGCCGAGGCGCAGCGGCAGTTGCACTCCCACTTGCAGCCATGCTTCTCGTTTTCTCACATACTCTGGCAGCTAGCGCGTGCACAAGAGAGGGGAGGCACTTAGAGCGTGCTTGAGAGGGGAGGGACTTAGAGCGTGCTTGAGAGGGGCGGGACTGCAGGCACGGCTGCAGTGCAGGGAGTGGAAGCAGAGCGCTGAACACACACGGCTCTTATTAAAACGGCGCTTTCTCACCGGAGTACTTTTCCCCGTCATTCTTAAAGTACCGACACTAATGAAACGGAGGAATCGTAACATTTTTAACGGCAGGGTATCGCGGTACCTTTCAAGTATCGGTACACCGTGCAACACTAGTAAGGAGTCAGTGTCTCTCCCCCAAACTCACACATATACAATTCGATATGAACTGAAGAGCCGCATGAAACTAGGCAAAGAGCCGCATGCGGCTCGAGAGCCGCGGGTTGGCCACCCCTGCCCTAGAGGGTTGTGACTGAAAATCCCAGCAGATCAGCAGTTTCTGAAATACTGAGACCAGTCCGTCTGGCACCAACAACCATGCCACGTTCAAAGTCACTTAAATCTCTTCTTCCCCATTCTGATGCTGTTTGGAATTCACCAGGGGCCACATTTATAAAACTTATAAATGCAGCGCAGCTTTTGCGGGCTTCACATAACGCCCATGTTTGCCTATAAATAGTCAAAGATACGCCCCGTATTAATATTCATTTTGACTGACTGCATGAAGAAGATCGCAGGAAATGACGACAGAACAGCTAAAAAAGACATCTCACACCGTGTCAGATTTTGGTTATTTTGGGGAGGTCGAGACAAATCATATTGTTTGGTGGATGCAGTTTGAACCAGAGTAGCAGCATGGAGGTCGGATCGTCACCAAAATAAATAAATAAGTGGTCCGAAAAAAGTTAATGACAAAATACACATAACCTTCCTCAGGCAATGTGTTTGTGCCGGGGACAGGAGACCCCCCCCAATGATGATAAACTGTAAGAAATGATCGGGGAATCCCTCCGGAGTGGAGTCATGACGACTGGATCTGAATTGCTTTATTTTATTTGGTGGTTTGTGTTCCAGCTGTCGATCAGCTGTGCGCAGCGTCTCCACTGCAGCCTGTGCATCTCAACCCTCCCCGCAGCAACTCTATCCACCAGTTAAAGGAAATACAACTAATGTGCTGTGTTATATCAGCTGTACAATTTACCAAGTATGGTGTTCTTAGTTTCCATACCTACTGTGTTTTACGAGCGATTTATCAAGTCTTGGCAAACGGCATAAAACACGATTAAACATCAATCAATCAATGTTTATTTATATAGCCCAATATTACAAATGTTACATTTGTCTCAGTTGTCTTCACAGTGTGTACAGAATATCAGTATGACAATACAACACCCTCTGTCCTTAGACCCTCACATCGTACAAGGAAAAACTTCCAGAGAAAACCCACAGTTTAAAGGGAACATGGGAGAAACCTCAGGGAGAGCAACAGAGGAGGGATCCCTCTCCCAGGACGGACAGACGTGCAATAGATGCCGTGTGTAAATTGAAAAGATAATACATTTGCAACATAGGTAGTCCAAATGTTTGGAAATGCATGTGTGTATAATAGGAAGATGAATCCACGAGGATATCCATCCAGGACCTATGATCCAGGACCACAGCCACGACTCAAGATCCAGGGCTCGCGATCCAGGACACAGGACCGCAGGATCATCCATCACTCCGGATCCCAGCGTATATAGACACCAAAAAGAAAGACATTTGGGGAAGCTGGGTTAATCGGAACATGAGAGTACACAGGTATAGACAGAGAGAAGGAAGAAGTAAGATGTCCCCCGACAAACTAAGCCTATATCAGCAAAACCAGGGGCTGAATCTAATCAGCCCTAACTATAAGCTTTATCAAAAAGGAAGGTCTTAAGCGCACTTAAACATGACGGTATATAAAACCATGCTCGTATATATACAACCTATAGAAAAGCAAAACGGCCTCAGTTTAGATGTAATTCTGTCCTTCTGTTTACCGCATCATTTATGAGAATACATGTCATAACATTAAGAGAACATATTCGAGATGGATTTCAATAACATATCCGTATTTATTTATTTCTCCAAGTTATGTTTTTGTGTGCACTGAGGAGTCTCAAACAGGCGTTTGTTTAATCATTTTAAGATTGGCTTTAATCAATTTTTGCAAATTAATTCTTCATATATGATAAATGAGAGGTAACGTTTTATTTATGGTATTATTTCCACATATTTCTCTCCATTCTTCCTTCTGCCAACGGTGTCGCAGTTTCTCGTCTCCTGTTTTTGTGCGTA